TTGAACTGTTAACCTATATTGCATATTGTACATAATTAGGTTACAATAATAATTTTATTTTATATGATTACCACCTTATGAATGTTGTATTGTAGTGGGGTAACGTACCATAGGGTGGGTGGGCCACGAGACCCTTGTACCGTCCCTGCTTAAAATATATGACATCTATATTTATCTCTTTATTCTTCCGTTCTAATTATTGATTAATTCAATTTCTATGTTCAGTCATCATTTGTCAGTTGCAGTTAACCTAGCGATAAAGGAAAAAAAAAACTACGCCCATCAGAAAGTAGCAAAGAGAAAATGCTGGACGACGGCCCAAGGGAAGATAGCTTCTTAGGGCGCACAAACAGCAAACAACTGTACAAACATGAGGAGAGGGAGAGAGAGAGAGAGAGGGAGGGAGAGAGAGAGAAAGAGAGAGAGAAAGAAAAGATGATTGCTGGGATTATCTCTCAGATTAATCAAGAGCAGTGCGTTTAAGCCAGTAAATCTCCTTAGCGAATTAAAACTAATCGTGTTCAATCCTTACTCGGGAAACGTAACCCGATAGCCAAACGAAAAGAAAAAAGTGACAACAAAGTTTTTACTGTCTTCTTTACTTCCATTAAAAAAAAATGCAAGCTAGGAATCAATATGCAAATCAATATTCTTAATCTGATTTTTCAGTAGCGATCCCTGATTTTAAAAATGCTAGATCAATACTTTCAAAAACCTGTCTTTAAACATTTTGTCTTTCTCTCTCTCTCTCTCTCTCTCTCTCTATATATATATATATATATATATATATATATATATATATATATATATATATAGTAAAATGTACGAAATCATTGTGGAATCTCAAAAAAAACGTATATCACTCAATTTTTGTAATCATGTTACACGAAGCAAGTCATCGCTAAAGATACAGGTAAAATGATCGGCTCCCTGTACCTGTCCAGTAACTAAATGCCTATCGTCTACCTTTACAAGAGCAACATCAGACCGAAAATGGAGTACTGTTACCATATTTCGGCGGGAGCTGCCCAGTCCTCACTTTCTAGTCTTTATAGAATTTAAAAGCGTCTCTGAGTCCTTGTTGGAGAAGAATTATTTTCCACCATCCAAACTCTCTCTCACATGCGGAATGTGGCGTCTCTCTCTCTCTCTCTCTCTCTCTCTCTCTCTCTCTCTCTCTCTCTCTCCTACTATGGAAAGTGCTCGGACGAAGTACATTCCTTGGTTCAGTCCTTGATTCCTTCACGACTTGGACGCACCATGACATTTACATAGTAGCAAAGCATCCACATTAGCCCCTTATTCCACCGGCGAGAAATAAGTTCCACTCGAACAGCTTCCTTCCGCGAACCTCTCTGCTCTGTGCAACCGACTACCAAGTAGATGTTTCCCTGATCACTACAATCTTTTTAACTCTAGAGTTAAGCGTTATCTTCCCCTCTTAGCCATATAAATTACCTCTCAATGTAACCCTCTACCTTGAGTGACCCCCGGAACTTGAATAGGGTGAACCTTACTGTAAAAAACAAGACAGTAAAGCTACTAAAACAAGTGGCTTCTGAATGGTAAGAACAAGAAAAAGAGAAACATGAGGGAGCGAGAAGAATGGAAGAGTAGTTAAGACAGTAGATAACGATTGAAATTTAATGTAAATTTTTGAAGATCAGAGTTGACTGGAAAGCATGAAGTTGGAAGAGTGTTCCACAAGTGAATATAACGAACCCAATGGAAATTGGAACTCGGTTTTCCGATTAACAATTCCGATCCATTATCCACCAGCAGAATATCCAAGCTAATAGCACCTGATATTCCCAAACGGTTACCGATCTAGCTATTGACCCGGCACGATGTCTTTTACCTTCGGTTATCATAAAGGAATAGATGTTTCAAACGTAATGTGGTGTAAGTCTTAAAAGAGAATTTGGTGAATTTAGTGAGAAGATAGTACAATAAAAGAACAGAGTTCAAGAAGACAGAAGATAGTGATTGGGATTGCATTTAAAATTTTTGAAGATTTTCGATGGCAGGGAAATAAAAAAAAAAACTAGAAATGCATTCCACAGGCGAGAAGTGCGAGAAAAAGAACTATTAAAATAAAACATACGGTTGCATCTAGCTAGTCCATCAGAAAAACGATGTGACCTAGTTGCCAATCAAGTAATACCTTTGAACTCATTCAATGAAGATACCAAGAAAGAAACAGTCAATAGCGTCGACCACCGCAAAGAAAAGTCGGCTCCCTGTGCCGCACCAGGAATTTTTTCTCGCCGGAGTTGATCCTTCAAATCTACAAATCAACCATTCGCCCTTGCATGGAGTATTGCTGCCATATATGGTCTGCAGCCCCCTCTCTTTGTCTCAAGGTCCTTCCTCTGTCTTTTTTACAAATACTTTCGCGGTAACTACTCCGATGAGCTGCTTTCGCTGGTTCCCAGATTTCATGAAATTAAGCGTTCAACTAAGCTGGCATCTCGCTCTCACTGTCGAAACTGTTAAATGTAGCTGTTTCTTCTACTTCAATAGCTTCATGTCTCACACTTCTCGCCTGTGGAACTCCCTCCCTTTTTCTTGTTTCCCTGATAGCTATAATCTCCAACTATTCAAATATAATTTTAATCGACGTCTCCAGATGCCTTGATCTATCCCCTATCCTTCTCTTCATCCTTTCCTCTATCATTCCTCTTTCCTCTAACTCTAACTGTCAATAAACCAAACCAAAGCTTGCGTACTAGTGGCTTCCCGTCTTGCTTGGGGTGAAACGCTTAAAAAAAGAAAGCTCATTAGAACAATTGCTTGTAGGAAAAATAGAGGGAAGCCACGACAGTAAGAGAGTTACTGAAGTCGTGATGCCAGACCAGGATCGATTACGTTAGAGACCCTTCTTTGAATCTTGTCGAGAGGTATAATAAGAAAACCAGACTAGCAGTATTCTATGCAAGGGCGAATGGTAGATGTATAAATGTGCAAGACAGAGAAAAATTCCCTGGAACGACACATTGAACTATCTTTCCTAGCAGTTGATTCAATATAATAACTGCGTTCTGGGTATGACGATAAACTACATCCGCGTCCTGGGTATGGCGATAAACTACGTCCAACAGCAAGGCCTTCGATAATACGTTTATGAAAAAATAATGATCTCAGTTGTATGTTTTTGAAAAAAATAATGTTGTCTGTTGTATGTTTTTGAAAAAAATATATTACCAGCTATACATGTTTGAGAAAAAAAATATTAACAGAAACAGATTTTTGACAAAACAAAAATATTACCAGGAAAAAAAAAAGTTGTCGGCATTAAATGACCCATTGAGGTTGATATGTCGTAAAACAAAACAAACCAAACCAAACCAATATAATAACTGAAATTAAAACGTGAAATTCTACAACGAAAATCATTATGGAAGAGAGATTCGTAGAACAGGATTCGAATTCCGTACGAAGCTCCATGAGTTCACTTCGAACTCATCTTCGTTCTTTCTTGAAGGTCTCGTTGCTGCTATGCCACAATATTAGACAGAGATCATAATCAGGTCCGATACTTTTCCATGTTATTAGTATCATTTAATCCAGTGCACCTGGGTTTGAAACTCTTAAATACAGGTGTGTGTATAACAGTTAAGCGCTCATTTCTTTGCTTCTAATGAATTACACTAGTGTCGTAATAATTTGCTTAGTTTACGGAAGGCTTCTTTTGATATTCCTATGGGTCTTTAGATCTATGTGTCACACTTTCCGTCATCTGATTTCTTGATACAGGGATGTCAGGAATTTTTCTATATATAACACATCATTACATCAGCATATTTGATATGAATGCTTTATACCTCTCCTTGTTCTCAAGATATGAAGATTGATTATAACACTCTAATGACCTTTTATTCAGTCAGGTTAAGGATTATTCTCTGCTACTTGTACTATGCAACCTGATACTATTACAGATTAAGCTGCTTGTCCTGATCACTTTAGGTCTGGTTCTTTGAGATAAAGATAGATTGTTTGATAATATTAAGTAAAGGTTATAAAAATGAGGGAAATGACATTCATTGTTATTGACAGCTTTAAGTCATAAAAATCGTTTTACTATTTTCAGTCGGATGAATTGTATTATTTGTTCAGGTGTCTAGCTGTACTGGTTATGAATTTCGTATGCTTGTGACTTTTTTCGGCGTTATATGAAATCAGTTCTGCTAATGTTTGTTTGGTCAGCATAATTCGCCATTATCCTCTAAATTTGGACTTCCGTGTTTTGAAGCTTATACATAACATCAGGTTTGGTTTGGTTTAATTTGTTTTACGGCATATCAACCTCAATGGGTTATTTAATGCCGACAACATTTTTTATTGCTGGTAATATTTCGTTTTATCAAAAATCTGTTTCTGGTAATATTTTCCCTTCAAAATTGTATTGCTGTAATATTTTTTTTCAAAAGAAGTATTGCTGGTAATAGTTAACTATTTACCCATAGCTGGGACCCTTAGAGGTGCTACCACCCTGTGTCAGGGTGGACTTGGGAACACCATCAAGTAAGAGGTGGTTCCACACTCCTCAAGAGCTCCTGATCAGAGGCCTTGCTGCTGGATGTAGTTTATCGTCTTACCCAGGACGCTGATTAACATCTTATCTAGGACGAACAGATGAAATTTCTGGGACACGTAATGAGAAAGTAGGGCTTGGAGAATCTGATACTCACAGGTCGAATAGAGGGAAACAGAGAAAAATGGAAAGCAACGCATGACATACCTAGCGGGTTTAAGCAAGTGGATGACAGAACATGCCCTGGGGGAAGTAGCAAAAGGTCAAAACTAGAAGGGAGCTACAAGGGAGAGGGGGAAATGGAAGGTCATAATCTCCTACGTCCTGAAGGGACACTGCACATAAAAAGAAAAAAAGAAGTTTTGCTTTATTTCAACACAAGTCAATCGTTGATAGAGAAACTTCCATTAAAATAAAACAAATTCAAATCGAAGGCGACACAAGTGACATAAAATAACTATTGGGTTTACGGCCATATCACGTTGAAACACCGCTTCTCATGCGATTACTGAAGTTAAGTAACGTCGAGCCTGGTCAGTAACTAGAGGGGTGACCGCTCGGGACTACTAGGTGATGTAAGCTTGGATGTGTAGGTTGTGTAATGGATAATGGCTCAGAATAGTTAATCGGATATCCGAGTTCTACTTCCTATTAGGTTCTTTATATTCACTTACGCGCAAATACCCCTGGGAAAGGCATGAATCCACCTTCTTTCCCACAGGGTGTAGGATAATTCGTAGCATTTGTATAAGTAAATCATTATTATCTCAAAAAAATTCATACAATCTAAAAATATTTTCTTGTTTTGCGGAACTTGTAGACGGTTGATAAGCTGTAAAAAAATCCATAGATATTGGAAAGTCTCAGATGAAAAATTAGTTTTGCAGCTCGATAGAAATAGAACGAAATCTGAATGCATTCAGACTGAAGGTAGAAATCTTAAAAAAACAGACAAAAAAACTGATGTTAAATGAAGTGAATACCTCGAAGAAACATATACACATAGTACAGCGACATTAAACAAATTATCAATACAATAATTTCCATATAATCTCTGAAGAGTTTGGAAGATCTGCTGAATTGTGAGTTAACACAGGCAGGTTGGGAGAGGACGCATAAGAGATATTTACAAAGTTACTGAAGATGAGAAATCATAATGATTTACAATGTGCCTACAAGTCGAAACAGCCCTCATGATAAGGGTTATGTTTGACAAATTCTAAAGTAATTTGAAAAATTTGTAAAACTTTCGGAAGTGTTTCACAGTGACTGCCTCAGAATTTGCATCTTAACCCTTTCAACCTTGACCACCGCTTTACCGGTGGTATAGAAAAATAACGTAATGCCCAGCCACCTGTTGGACAGTGGGTTAATACTTGCGCCGTATTTTGCTTTTGCTTGTCTTATTTTGAAGAGCCAATCAGAAAAGCCGTAATATTCTGATGTCATCGAACGTTATATCAAAACGTCCACGCCTTTTCATTGTGTTTTGTGCATGTGTTTTCGATAAAAAAAGAATCGTTTTTAGCATGAAGCGTGCAAAGTCTTAACCTGGACCGTCAGGGAAGCAATCAGAAAGTTATATTTTTGTAACTATTTTTATATCTACCGTGGAGCATTACATACCAATTATTTGCGAATTTTGACTCAGGAGCTCAGGGAGAAAGGGTTAAAATTGTTCAGGATCGCCGGGCTCAAAGGATTAATGGAAGTTTTTGTGTTGATTGTTTTGTGGTTAAAAAGGACAAAACATGGAATGCCAAACGCAGAAAATAACCAAGATATGTGGTAAACAGGCACAATTTTACCAACATTAGCTGAACTGATTACATATGACGCTGAAAAAAACACACATATATATATATATATATATATTATATATTATTTATTACCCATATAGACAGCAAAAGATAGCCAGAACTTGTGCAAACATTGGGAAAATTGTGATAATGACAAGATAAGGATATTAATCCAAATGAAAATAATAAAAAAAGGTGATAACTCACAGTTAATTAAACCCAAGAATTAATACGAAATATATTGATTTTTAAATTAGTATTTACTTAACTTATTCGTATATGGCAAGTGTTTCGGACCAACTGATTTTGATAATAATAATCGTTTGATAACAGTATCCGTGATTATAATAAACGGATTCTATCTCCGGATTTTTTTATTATGTTTGAAAGAAAACATTTATTAAAATCAATGATGAGATAAATATACACCGCTGAAATTTTTACAACGATTATTAAGTTGTAACAATTTTATTTTTTGCCAAAAAAGAGTAAACATTATATTTTTTTTTATTTAATCATTTCCCATCAGGCAAAGCAATAAAGCCATGAAGACGTAATGGATTACTGAATGTGGGAGAATATAAGAAAAAGAAAACCTTATTAAGAGAGAATTATAAAGAACAGGAAGATAACGATTGACATTGCATTTAAATTTTTGAAGACCAAAGTTGACTGGAAAGCAAGAAACCGGAGAAGAAAAAGTGAAAAGTGCGGGAGAAGAAAGTGTTAGAATAGAACTTATGTTTATATCTACAGCCATTTCAACTGGAAGATGATGTGAGCTTGCCGCCAATCTAGTCGTACGCATAAATTAATAGTCTACGTACCAAACAGGAAAGGTCATCAGAATGATGACTATGAAAATATGTACAGAAAAGGCACAGGGAAGCTACACTATATTGGTGGGAAAGTGAGTGAAATCGAGATGCCAGGTCAGGGCCAATAACATTGCAGATTCTTCTTTGTTTTTAGCAAGAATCTCTAACTACGTAGCAGAAGCACGAGATCAGATGTTGGCAGCAAGTGAGAAATATATATATATATATATATATATATATATATATATATATATATATATATATATATATATATAGTGGTACTCGTTTGGGAAAACACTTAGGTGTTTTGGCTTGTAATTGCACAAACCAATACCCAAGGAAAAATGAGGGATAAAAAAGAAAGAACTAAGAACATGAAATAGAGGTGAAAACAATCGTCCAGCATTCAAGCTCAGAGTCCAAAGAAAAAAAACCATCCAAAACGAGTAAAAGTAAAAACTAACTACGTAAAGTGCTCAATAAACTAAGTAGAACAAACCTAATATAAACCTGAAAAGCCAGGTAAACCTACCTAGGTTTCACCTACACGGGTAGTCAGGGTATTATATATATATATATATATATATATATATATATATATATATATATATATATATATATATATATATATGTGTGTGTGTGTGTGTGTATATATATAAATACATATGAAGAATTATAGTTTTCAGGTGTGGTATATTTATGGGATAAAGTGTTCAATATAAAGTGCGGATATAAATATAAACGTGAACGTTGACGTCAACACTCAGAGGCGACAGACTGTTTCATGCTAGACGCAATTGTCAGGCGGCCTGACGATTGTGTCTAGTATGAACCTGCCTGTCGCCCTGAGTGTTGGCGTTCACGTTTATATATATATATATATTCACTTTTCACATATATATATATATATATATATATATATATATATTAAAGAAAAAACAACTATGACCAAAAAACAACTTGCCAGAAGACGTATCAACTTATCTAACATGAAATCATGAACAAGGAAAGAAAAAATAAGAAACACCATTAGATAAAGTGAAGTACTCAAGGCCCAGATAATCGAGACAGAGTAAAAGCCGCTTAATAAAGTCAATACTTATCAAAGGACAGTCCGAGTTGTTATCCGAGTTTCACGATCTTCGGACAACTAGAACGCAACTGAAAGAGTTACTAACACTATATAACCATAACCGCAACGCGAGTAGGTATGTTACAGTCATGTGTATATAGTGCTAGACACAGCTTCTTTCAGTAGTATAAAGATCGTGAGAGTGTGAAATTAGAGTAAAGTCTTGCTCAGGTATTTGTATATATATATATATATATATATATATATATATATATATATATATATATATTATAGTTTTTCAAATAGGCAAAGACAATTTATTCACTACAAAGATGCAACTTCGTTTCGGTGCATTTAATTGCACTTCCACTGGTGAGAACCAAAATTCTGTTTGGTCTGCTATCAGTATTGAGCCCTCTTTTGAATTAATACTGTGAACGTTAGAATTTATATATTATTTTCGTTCTCATTACATTCGTATATATATATATATATGTACCCCCCAAAAAAAATGTTATTACTAAGGTCTAAATGAATTTTCTTGAAGCTTTTAATTTACTTTTAATTTCAAGCTAATAGATTAAATTTAATATTTCTAGACAGAAAAATACTTGATGTGTTTCAAAATGAATGTAAGTTAATTAGAATGATTTTTTAATTCGCTAAAAATCGCTAATTTGCGCCATCTATTAGTACAGTGTAATTCTCTTTATAAAAAATTTTGAAAAAATTATATTTTTCTGAAACTTTATTTGAAGATTTATATTAACTCATTTGAAGTTTAATTAATCTGATCTGAAACAAATATTACATACTGTTAATTTAAAATATCTCAGAAATGCATTTTAGGTTTTTTTATTAAATGTTGACACCTCTATTGACAGCCGGAAATTTAACTATTTTTTCTTCAATTTTTCGGTAAAAATTACTAATGTAATGTGAGCGCTTTTCTTTATAATTTTTAACTACACAGTTATCTTAAAAATTTAAGAAAATATTCTAAGTAATCCAACGTTTTATTGAATTTTAGGTACTTTGGCTTTAAATTTGCCATAGTTATTGCTCATATTTTCTGCTAATGCCGTGTATAGACGCCCGTATTTAAAAGAAAAATAGGCATGTTTATACACAGACACAAAAATTTAAAATTATTTTTTAAATTACTGGGGATCACTGAACTGTAGTAAGCTTTTTCATTTATGTTTAGTATATACAGTTTTACGTACGAATTAATACAGAATTTTATAAGATTTCAAACTTTATAAATTATCGTAATTAAAAGAAGAAAAGAACTTTTTGTAAAAATGCGTTAGTCATCGAAATATTTTCTTAAGAAAATAGTGTCCATAGTAGATATTATTCATAAAAGCAATTAAAAGCAATTTTCTAATTCAATATTGCCTTAGTTTTATTGCATTTTTCATTTTGATTCTGGACAGATTTTCGTTAACTGGCGGTCATGTTCGACAAAAACAAATTGATGATTTAAATCCTCCAAGGATTTCTGCTTATAACTAATATAAACATTAGGTAGAACAAAAATGAATTTCTCGAAATTTCATAAAATTAAATAAGTGTGGTGGGGTAACATATGCAAAAAAATGTTTTTACCAAGATTTTCTAAATGAGAAACATTTATAAAATAATTTAATTCATTTGGAAATTAGTCGTGAACTTTAATTAAAAGCCGACAATTATTTTATTTTTGCAAGAATTTCCAAATCAATATGTTTTCCCGGCGTAAGAAGCTAAAATTTCCTATACTAATTTATGTGCCTCTACCTCCGCTGAGGCGAGAAAAACAACATTTTTTAACAGAACTATTGAAGGTTCTAAAAAGGATTAAAAAAATATAATTTTATGTTGAAAAAAATGTTTTGATCTTTTTATT